GTGCATGGAGGGATGGACACAGGGAAGAGGTAACTATTGGGAGGAAGTGGGAGGGTAGCTGTTGCATTGTGGTGAATTGTGGTCAGTGTCATGTATTGTGAACTGCTGAATGGAAAATGAATTTGCTCTGTAAATTTTTACCCAAATCATAATAAAAATAAACAAATTTTAAAAATAGATAGATAGATAAAAGACATTACAGTATCCCAGGGACCAGCATTTGACACTATGAACAAAAAACATTTACTGGATGAAATAATTAACATTTTCTTTGTATTTCTTTATTTCAAAGACAAATGAAAATGGGACTTAAACATTTTTTTTCCCAAAATTGCCATTACTGAAATTATTGTTCTGCTTAGAGAAATGTGCTTCTTGTGAACTCTAAAACAATGCAAGAACTCATCAAGTAGTAAGTTTTGTTCTCCATCTGCACATGTAATACACTATAGCGAAACTTGTTATTCTTAAAAAATCTTCTCGGAGCATATGCACATATAGATTTAAAAGACAGGCAGGCTTGTATTACACAGATTGTTCTATAGTAGCTTTCCTCGTATTACAATCTGTCTGGACATTTTGACACATCGAAACACAGATCAAGCATTCTTTTTTAAGTAGCTGCAGAATAAATACTTCATTGTCTGGGTTGTGCCACAATCACTTCTACTACATAGCAAGGCTGCTTCCAAGGTTTTGCTACTATAAACATCAGTGCCATGGACATCCATGCATATAAGATGTTGCCTACTGATTACTCCTTTAAGAATAAATTCTTAAAGGTAAAATGCCAGGTCAAAGGTGTACGTGTTTTAAATCTTGATCCATATTGAAAAAATACTTTTAGTGTACTTAACTTCTACACTAACATTATCTCCAACTATATAAAGTCAGACACAAATATAAAATCTGACTTTCACGTACTATTATCCAGTACTGCATATCTGGAGTTGAAAGCAAAACACAGCAACCACAGAAATGTAGAATCACGACCTTTATGGCTACGAGTAGAAAGAACATAATCATCTGTTCATGCAAAATCTTCCCATCATTTCCATCCCTGTGGTTGTGAACACTCCTCTGGTCTGTGCCCCTCTGAGGGACCACTTTCTTCAGCTCCCTCGGGCTCCGTCTCTCTTCTCCAGGTTAAGTGCGTTCATGGAGATGACCTGCTTGTACTTTTCTGAGGCTCTGGGTTCCTGTTTGATATTCCTGTGCTGTTTCTAGCTGGTTTTTCTTTCCTTCTTTCCTCTAACTTTTCAACTCTCATGCCCCTTGACATATCACAATTTGTCCTTCTAGCCCACTGATTCTCACTTTGGGAACACCCAGTTATCTCAAGGATTGCTCTGTGTTTCAAAAGAAAATGCACTTTAATCACCAAAGGAAACCACCACAGGTGCCACAAATCCCAGAGCAAGAGTCACTCAGCAGAGGAGTTCTGGCAAGATGGT